GTTATATAGGGGTTTATATGGGGATCGTAGCAATGGCTTCATAGCAGCGAGTTGTCATAAAGATATCTGTCTTTAGATGTAGCAGTAACACTAACGGAGTAGTAGCTTACAGAGAAGTGCGCCACAGGTATGACAAGATATCCTCGCCACCAGCGGAAGTTTCTATACATCCTAGACCCTCCACCTACCTTCCATTGGGTCCCAAGTGACCCCTTTTAGGGGCCGTATGTCCCCAATTAAGGGTACTAGGAGCTACATATCTTAGTAGCTGCCACCAAGGCAGACAGCCTTGCACCTGAACCTCCATGTGAGCCGGGCAGTGACTCCGAATGCACAGAGGACTCTGAAACCTGGTAGATGACCAGGATCCTGGCATGAGATCTGTGGGTTAACCTGAGAAGAACGGCGTCCAGTAGATTGGATCTTAGAGGAGTTCATGGGGTGTCTATTAGTCTTACGAAAAAGTACGTTTACCTGACGCCAGAAAATACCCTAGACGTCATCGGGTGGTCAGGGATTCTTGCTGTCTCCTGCCGCGAATTCGAATTCGATCGTGCGGGGCAAGCCAGACCTTTTCTGGACAACAGCGCCGGGCACGCATGTGCTCGGGGAGACGGATTCTGGTAGCCACCGTATGGCCAGGATTCGAACAGAAACTGTATTGTGCGCATTTCAGCCATAGTCCTGCCGGCTGTTGTGCCCTTAGAGGCTTGCATTGAAATAGCGCACCTAGGGATGCCCATGTTCCTGTGCCTGTGTGGGGGTTCTCCAAAATTTGGGATTTCTTTTTGGGGATCTGTAGAACAAGGCATATAGTTCATCGGACTATAGGTTGTCGGGGTCCATCTTTGGGGCCCTCAGTATGGAAACCCTCCACGTCTTCAGCTACGGAATGTAGCGTCTCGTGTTTGGCTTCGGCCATAGATGCGCAGATGTTCTGGGGGAGTTGGCCAGCCTGAAAAGCAGCAGCTGCGCTTGCTGTTGCACAGGAGCTTGCACTGCTTTTGTGAAGACATGATGCAAGTGACTAATTTAAAAAAAAGCTGAGTGGCAGCATGACGCCAACAGCTGTGCCATGTGTGCAATTTTGGATCTTGCCTGTGAGCTCCGCAAATATGAAGCCAAACCACAGATTCAGATTCCTTTTCTCCATGTGTAAGACCCAGTATCAGGTGGATCCTACCGTGAGACGTAGCCCAGAACAAGAATTTAGCTGCCATGGCGCCTGCGTTCATGCGCGCTTGGCTCTTGAGCGGTGCCGTGCTATGCAGCCACGCCAGGATCGGCCAGCAACTCCAAGCTTCGCATCCCCGCGTGGAGCTTCATGTGCATTTGGACGGTTCAATGGACTTCGACACGCTGCTGGACATCTGCAGGCATAGGGGAGTTCAGCTACCTGGTGTTGGTGCCCCAAGAAGCATCCAGGATATAGAGAGGTATATGGAAACTTTTGAGGGCTGGCATCGCTTCGATGCTGTGAACAACATCGTTGGGGGCAGCGTTGCCTCCGTCCAGATGGCAGCCGAGGCGTTTGTGAAATTCCAAGCGACGTCTGGTGTTTCTTATACAGAGGTTCGCTATGACCCAGTACCAGGGATATTCCTGAGAATATTTTAAAGATATTATGGACCATAATCCTCATATTTTGTTAAGCCATCGCAAACATCAATTTTCATAGGGCCCCTAGATCTATCTCAGGTGCGCCTCTCCAGAAGCATCCTTGACAATTCCTCGATATCAGAAGAGGAGGCAGTCAGAGCTGTTGAGGCTGGCCTTGCGAAACTGGGTTGCTGATAAGGAGCTGCTTCAAAATTATGGTAACGTAGGGTCGAGTTTTTTTTGAGTTGCTATAGGGGTATATAGGGTTTAAGGTTTAGGGTTTAGGGTTACTATTGTTGGGAAACTCCCCCTACTTACTTGTATATACGCATATTATGGTAGTTTTACTTAAATTCCTCAACGGCAACCCAGGAAAGGGTCAGCCAAGCATGGCGTCGCAGTGTACCAGATTCTTTGCGCGATGAGAGGGGCAAGTCCCCAGCAATGTTTCCAAACTGCAGATCTTGCATCAAAATGCCGCAGCCGATCCATGGGTGGCGTTGTTGGCTTGGACCTGGCTGGTGATGAGACGGACTTTCCCAACCGGGCGTACATTGATTGCTTCAAATACGCGAAGTCGCTAGGACTGAACACCACTGTGCATGCAGGTGAGTTCAACAAGACAATGGGCAGTGATGTATTCTCTGCCATATACGAAATGGCCGCTGACCGCATTGGTCATGGCTACGCAGCAGCGTTTAATGCCAGTCTCCTTCAAGTGTTGAAAGAGCAGAACGTGCATGTAGAGGCTTGTCCCAAGAGCGCTTTGCTTCACGGGCCTTGGGCCCTGAGTGCAATCCACACCTTCAGGCAGTACGGCCTCAACTTTGGCCTGAATACCGATGATCCTGCGCTCTTCTTCTCAAACACGAGTGCCTCAGAGGACGAGGACATCGTTACCCAAAAGCTGAACTTCTCAGCGCAAGACGTTCGCGCTTCGTACGCGGATGCCTATCGCGCTCGTTTTGGAGATGTCCAAGACGTGGCCGACGTAGCTCTTGTGTATTATGCATAGATACATTTCAAGGAAAAGACCGTCAGGCATTTGAAGATCCCAGTCATGGTTTACTGCGGTGCATCCTGCAAATTCGCCTGTCTCAGCCGCCACATGTCTCAAGTTGCGCGCAAACAAAGATATGGGAAAGTTACTACATTTCGTAGTGTTTCCAGCACTCAGGATAATTCAAAGGCGGCTTGTGGTCTCGGCAAGATGACTGGCAATTTCCATTTCCTGCAAAAAGGAATGCATCCAACAGGAGCTGGAGGCTACATGTCGCGCGCAAGCAGACTGCAACTGACAGAGGACGTTATGCGCAAACAAGATGTTCAGCCTGAGCATGCCTAAGAATCTTTATTACTGACCGCGTTTAACATGTTAAGCACAAGAAGTTGTTCAAAGACCATGATGGATCATGGCAGCGGTTGTGCTGCTGGCCATATTGGACTTGGCCGTGGTGTGGGACCAAGGTTGACTTGCGCTTTGCCTCAACTAAAACCCTCCTACCCTTAATTGAGGTTGTTAGGGGCCATAATAGAGGGTAGTTGGAGTGTCTAAGGAAAGGAGGGTTGACTCCGCAAAGGAGATTCATTATGGGTAGACTCGCAAGGGATGCACATTCTTGAAACAATTTGTGTCTGCACTTTTGTAATGATTTGTAAGCCTTTGCATGGATGACATGTAGTGAGCCACCAGGCTCAGGACGCGTGACAGCTGAATTGGCTGCGCGCATACATAGTAGGTGCTTGTTTGACATCTAATTCCAACGTGCGGTAAGACTGTCGAAGTTACTTGTTGCTACCACCAAAGAGTCGTAGCTCGTGAGAGTTTCTTCAAGCTGCGTTCTCATTGCCCAGGCACCTGTATGGGCTGGAGTGCCGTGGCCTCGTTGACCTAATTCTCAAGCCAGGTGCCCCCATCCGACAGCAACGCAGTGCATATTTTTCATTATTGATGGCTGGTGCTTAAGGGAGAGGAGGGGAGGGAATACAGATTACGATGCTTTTTTTCGGATGAAAAGATCATTCTCGGCATCCGTTCACCCACTTCCCTTTCAGCACCGGTAAGTGCTCCACGCGCTTGTTGAATATAGTATAGTTTTAGTATTGCAGAATATAGTGCAATATAGATAATACAGTAGCATATAGCATAAAATATTATAAGATAGTCTAATACAGTATAATATTCAGACGAACAATCAGTGTCTGTCTAAGGCCTGATGCAGACTGTTGGGCAGATGTTGCTGGGCAGCAAGCTTTTGTGATGAGGAGTTCTACAAGCCATGGTTAGATAGGTCCAAGAAGTAGTTATGAGGGTTTAGGGCTAGGGTAATGATGAGGGCTTAGGTTTAGGTTTAGGGAATGATAGTAGTAGCGGCCGAGACATGGCATAAGTCTGGTGCAGCTTTTTTAAACTTGTCTTTGGATACGCTTCCGGCCTAAACATCTGCAAATTCGAGGAGTTGAAAGTATGATGTTGCATAATGTAGTATAATGTAGCATAATAGAGGAATAAAATACAATATGATACAGTATAGTCTTGAATAACATGGTGAAATGTAGTCTACTATGCTCCGCAATCCGAGGAGTTCAACGAGAATTTCTGCTGCGACGATAAGTATGGCCTCACGGGAAATCCTGCCTGTTGGAATGAGGACGCGTACTTTCCCAGGGTCGGCATGACGTGGGCCTGGCTAAAAAGCCCTGAAAAACTTACTGGTTCCTAGCAGGGAATATGGGAATGTACTCCCTACATAATCCAATGTAGTATATTCCCCTATTCCCTACTTAGAACCAGTAAGCAAAGAGCCATCTTCTGGCGTGCATGCGTGCTGGGAGAGTGCTCTATGCCGCTGTGGTCCCTGTTCCTATGATTGTGACTCTTCTTGCTTTGGGTTCTTGACATTGTTTTGCGTGTTCCTCTTGATTTTGTTGGTTTTTGTATTTTTGTTGGATTTCGTGCAGTTAGATGACTCTTGTGGTGGCTGTAGCTGTGCCCATGAAGCTGCTGCTGCTGCTCTGACACCTTGACACACCTGAGCTATAGTCTAAGCTCCTAGTATCCTCGCTTAATTAATAACCCCTATCATGCTCCCCTATAAAATCCCCCATGTAAGAACCCTCCTCAGTCAAGGAGTTTAGACTATAGCCCACGGCAGATTTTTGAAGATAGCGTTTCTGTAGGCTCATGATTATGGGATTCTAAGCTGCGCCCCCTTACTCCCCTCCCTCAAAATCGACGGGAGGGTAGTAGGGGGGATAGTACCCTAAGCCCTTAACCCTCAACCCTACCTTCACCAAAAGGATCCCATAGCACGAAGGAGTTTACATACCTTCGCTGCTGTGGCATGGACAAGCTGCCCAGAAGGCCAGATGATGCTCTGTCCTAGGGTTTAGGGTTTGGGATGTAGGGTAAAGAATCTAGGGTTTGGGAGGGTTTAGGATTTAGGGCTTAGGGCCTTCAACTATAGTGTAATGATGCAAACCCCAAGCAATACTCGAATTGTGAACAGCCTTTTGAAAAAGTGAGTAGTAGCCAAGGCGAAGGACGCCCGACAAAGAGTCACAATTTCGGCTTATGAGCCATAGTCTAAGCTCCTTAAGGAGGGTTATTTGGGGGATTTTATAGGGGAACATTACAGGGGTTGTGAAGGGGGATGCTAGAGTTTAGACTAATTATAGCTCATATGCAATCGAGGTACCAGGCAACATCACAGTCCTTGTTGCAGGCCAGAGGATGACATCAACTGGGAGTCAACTGTGGCGGGGATACCCGTGGAGGACGCGGCTGCACCTGTGCAAGCCAGTGCTAACGGGACGACTCTAAAAACGATGCTAAGAGTCATAGTAATCGTAATTGGACTTGACTGCGTTGTTAGCCAGGATGGCGGGGAGTATGACTTCATAGTTGTAGGTGCCGGCTCAGCGGGCAGTCGTGCCCTCAGTCTTCATGGAACATGGATGCTTGCAGGGCCTTATTGGGATTGCATGAGAAATACTGAGGCTTAGCAGGCAGAAGTTTGTGAGATCATTTTTGGTTTCACGGAGCCAGTTATCTCAGTGCCTAAAGAATCTAGGAGGGTCCAGACTTTTTTAGTTGCAAAACGTCTCTGCCTAGCTGGGTTGGTACCGTTTCACTTTCCATTTCAGCTGAAGCTCTGTCCTGATAGGGCTCCTTAGTATTCTCTTATAACTTGCAATGTTATAGTAACTGCCCTAAACCCTAAACCTTAATATGCCAGAGCAGGCACTATGCTAACTAAGGCGCAGTCGCTTCCCGACTTGCGGCTGCAGACACCACCGATGGAGAGCCCTGGCGTGTCCTCATTCTGGAGGTGCCGCTGCGAATACTCAGGGATCTGAGATTCTGGGGTTTAAGGTACTTGTAGCTTCTGTGCAGGACGAATCGGAGATGCCAACTTTCATGCCTGAAGTACCAGGCATATTTTATGAGTATTTCACACTGAAGATGCTCCACAAGCTCCAGTGCGTAAATGCAACGGAAGCTGAGGCCGACAGTCGTTGTTTTTGTGCAAGGGCCGCAAGGGTGCCGACTCCTTCATCAACACACATTATATACTACCCCAATAATGGAGAATCAAATGGAAAAGAAAATGGAAAATGAAATGGAAACTGGGGTTATATAGGGGTTATTTGGGTATTTGTGAAAGGTTGCACACCCTCACCTCTACATTGACATGCAACTGCCTTCGCGCCACTGGCGACCAGCAGCGTTGCAACTCATTTGCGCAGTACTGATTACCCTTATAGCATCCCTAATGTTGCAACATGATGACCCATAATTCTTGTATGCTCCTCCAGGATCCTGAACCACTACGCCCCTCAACCTTAAGCCCTAAACCCTTAGCCCTCAGCCCTAAACTCTAAACCCTAAACCCCATCACTCCTCGCATTTATCAAAGCAGGCTGGATCATGGAGCGTAGCTGAGGAGCATCTGGATATGCTTAAACCAGTACAAGGGAGCTAGAGGAATTCACAGGGATACATAGGGATATCCAGGGGTGTATAGGCATATACGGGATATATGGGGGTATATTGGGATGTGGCTTGGGGTTCTATGAGGCTAGAATGACTTTGAGGAGGTTATTTATGGAGTAAATCCGACTGAAGGACATTGTTGGGATTGTTTTGAGAAGCTCTTGTCCCTGGAGGGTTAAGGAGTTTCGAGAGATTATGTACGGAGTGTCGGATATTCCAGGTTTAGGACAAGCAAGGAGTAAACAATTAAGCAATGTGGCGCAGGATTTTCCTAAATCTTTGATTGGTCCTTCTTCAACGTGCTCAACATCCCCAAGCCCGTTTCATGGTGTGCTGCTCTGGAGGAGATCGCGGACCCAGATCGAAGTGCGCAGAAAAAGGAGGCCTGATTGAACCATGCTGGTGACTCTTCATCTGGGATTTCCCAAAAATGAGGCCTTGGATCATCTGGGGGGTTCCCAAAATTAGGGGTGACATAGGTTTATACAGGGTTCAGGGTTGAGGGTCTAGGATTTAGGGTTTCTCAGAATTAGGGGTATCTTTTTGCGGGTCCCCGTAACAAGGATTATAGTATATTGAGGTTTACATTGGGGTCTCCCCTTTTGGGAAGCTACCAGCTACCTACAATTTAGCAGATCGTACCCAAGACGGGCTATGAAGTACAGGGAGATACAGGTACACCTTAGACCATGTAACCCCGAACCCCAAACCCTAAATCCTAAACCCAAACCCAAAATGCTAAACCCAAAGCCCTATACCCTACACCTGAGACCATGTAACACTAAGCCCAAGACCCTAAAGACTATGAACCCTAAATCCTTCTATCCATGGAGGCCTGGTGGCCGGCACTGGAGGTCAACTTCAGCGTTGGCAAGGAGGGAAGGACGGTGAACTGCCCTGCTTGATGCAAGCTACGAACCAAACGAGGTTTCGGGTTTAAGGTGCGGAAGACCTACAGGGGGATACCTGGGGTGTAGGAGGCTCTATGAAGGAATATACTTGAACTTTGGTTCAAGTAG